AACTGTTGAATGGTTTGACTGGTAGCTATGATGTGCACTGACCACCAGGGGGCAGACACTCAATGCACAGGCATGGAAACATGGAACAGACTGATGAATCTCAGAGGGAAGGAAGGAGGGAGAGGACGGGAAGAGATTAACCAAAGATCTTATATGCATACTAGAGGCCTGGTGCATGGATTCGTGCACTGGTGGGGTCTTTTGGCCTGGCCTGTGGGGACCTGGCTGAAACTAGCAGTCCGACATCCCCTGAGGGGTCCCGGATTTCGAGAGGGTGCAAGCCAGGCCAAGGGACCCCACCGGTGCATGGCACCAGGCCTCTAGTGTAAACAAATAAACATTGTTAGTTGGTGGAGGAGGGGGTAAAAAATACGTTCCATACAACTGACGGAATTTGGTCCAGTTTGCCCATCCAGGTCTAGACAGATTTCCAGGTAAAATCAGATGTGCCAGGAGTGGCCTGTAGGGTTTTGTTCTGTGAAAACCTCTCTTCTCACAGTTATAAGTATTAACAGCGAACTGCATCAGATGTTAGACTTTGGACCTTGAGTTCCACTAAGAATTCAGCACCGGGGAACTCAAATACAAGGGCAAGTTTGTTTAGAAAGTCACAGGGGTAGAAGTGAGCTGTGGAAGAAGTGAGCCACCCAGCTGCGTGGAGTCAGCGAGCAAGTTACAGAGGCAAAACGAGCCCTTGGCGCATAGGAAAAAGAAAGAGGAAGGAGAATCGGGGAAAGACGCGCGTGCACGCGTGTGTGCTTGTGGGCGTGAGTGCGTGTGCGTGTGCGTGTGCGTGTGTGTGTGTGTGTGAGAGGCGGGGTAGGGGGAGGCGAGAGAAGAAAGAGAGAATATGAGTATGAGCACCGGCATATGCTGGGTCATTCCTCTTAATGGCTTTTTATCTCGTGGTCTCAGGGGAGGATCTCAGTCGCGTATTCATCAGATTTTCCTGGTGTGGCTCCTCAGGGTTGTGGTCTCCACTGATTGATTGGGGCCAAGGCAGGGAGGGGATCATTAGTCATTGCAGCTGGTCCTGATGCCAGCTATCATGTTGCCTGCCTGGCCTTGCTGCTTTTTTGGGCCTGAAGCTGAAACACAACTGAAGCCTAGATGTTATTTATCTATAGTTTGACCAAAACTCTTGTCTCTGTGGTCAACATACCTGAGGGTTTGTTCATAGGATTATTTTATGTGGTTCAGAACCTCATTGTTCCGAGGCCTTAATGTTTAAGGGCAGTGATGGCGAACCTTTTGAGCTCGGGGAGTCAGCATTTTGAAAAACCCTAACGTAACTCTGGTGCTGTGTCACATACAGACAGACATTTTTTGATATTTGCAACCATAGTAAAACAAAGACTTATATTTTTGATAGTTATTTTATATATTTAAATGCCATTTAACAAAGAAAAATCAACCAAAAAAAAGAGTTCGCGTGTCAAAGGTTTGCCATCACTGCTTAAGGGAGTGGTCACGTGCGGGAGTTAAATGAGGCTATTCTCCAGGCCCCTTGTTCTCCTCTAAGGAGATGTACGGGATTAGCAACGTGCTGGGGAGGAAAGGTCAGGGGAGGGTCCGAACTGCATGGCCAGTGATATGAAAGGCCAGGGGGTCTAAACCGCAGGACCCGAGATATGCTAGGGGAGGTAGGTCACCCTGGGGGTGAGGTCCTGCCCTATAATACTAGAGTTCCCAGGTTAGCCCGTTGCTAGGCACCCAGAGCTTTTCACCCTGGTGACCTTCTGTACCTGGCCTGTTTCCACTCTGCTCCTGCCTAGCTGCCCAGGATATCACAAGTATCTGAATTTTCAAACATCTTTTATTTTATTTTTTTAAAATATATTTTATTGATTTTTTACACAGAGGAAAGGAGATAGAGTTAGAAACATCGATGAGAGAGAAACATCTATCAGCTGCTTCCTGCACACCCCCGACTGGGGAAGTGCCGCAACCCAGGTACATGCCCTTGACCGGAATCGAACCTGGGACCCTTCAGTCCGCAGGCCGACGCTCTATCCACTGAGCCAAACCGGTCCTGGCTCAAACATCTTTTACATTTTGATTTCAGCTGAGAGAAATTAGAAGATATGTTTCAAAGATACAAAAGAATAATTCCTTTTATAATGACTAGTTATTGATTTATTATTAATAATTTCATAAATTACTTTGCAAATAACTTTTTGAGCTCATACATGTGCCAGGCATTGTGCTAGCCTGTTACAGACTCCGGGGGACTGATGCAGCATTATCCCTACTTACAGAAGCAGATACTGTGGCGTGGCGCACCTAGGTTAGGTGACGGCTCAGATCGCTAAGCTAGGGCGGCGCAGGCAGGAAGGAGGCCCTGGTCTTTTTGCATCCTAACTGCCCTCTCCTGCAAGCCACTTCCAGATACCATGTTTAACTCCGCTCTGTTCGTGTTGACTGGGAGACACATTTTCCCTAAATTCAATCGGGCTCATATAGTCAGTTAAGAGCAAGTGGGCTTGAGACAAACGCCCGGTCCATCGGCCTCCCCCCGCCCCACCCCCCACCCCAACCAGGACCTGGGACAAAAGACTGGCAACACT